AAATAATGTATGTTTTAAGATTTATGTATTCGCTTTAAATCACTAGAAAGTTCTTCCATTAAGAACCTTTCAGATTTTTGCATTTTTATATCGAAGCAGCGATATACAATATCTCATACCTCATAAAGATAGTAGCAGCGATTAATGCAGTAAATCGATTGGTAAAAATGGTCATCCCAATGGTTCTACAGTCTCAACCATAATCATCAGATTTTTTGGGCGATAATAAAAATAATAAGCATCAAAGAGACCTTTTCCATATTTCTGTGGACAAATGAAATTTAAGGGATGAATTATAGAAGTTAAAACTTATTTTCCAGTGAACAATATAAAATTTTTGGACCGAAAGATGATAGGAAAGCGATGAAGAAAAGAAAACTTCCGGTTTTTTTAAAAGTTAGCTTGTCAAAAATCTATTTACGAGAAATTTACGAAATTGACTCCATAATGAACTTATAGCAAAATGAGCGCATGCGAAATAATAAAATTTATTCTCAAAATTAAATACGTAGATCTCTCTTCTAATGAAATTATCTAGAAACCTAGTATGTTAATGGAGATTTAATATAATTTTATAAGATTCTAGTTGATTAATCTTAATAACCCTTTTATTTAAAAGCATTAGAGAATCAAGTTTCAATTAGCAATCAATTTTTGAGAACCTAAGTCTGCTTTCTCATTCTCCCTCATTTGATATATCTCCCTTCTTTCTGTCCCAATACATATTTATTTCAAATGAAAATAAACCTATTTGACATATTGAAATGAACTTTTCCGTAGAATTCAGTGGTATATTTTTATCTAAGAAATCTTCCAGACAAGTGTTTAAAAGTTAATGAAAACTGGAATGATGTTCCAAGTGCCAGTCATATTTCGAAATTTCATCTATAGCGTCAGTTATCCTAAGAAAAGCCAAAAAATTTTATTTATTTTATTAAGCCATTAATAATGGTCGAATACTACAGTCAATTTTATACGCGTTGAGCATAGGTTCGATTTAAACTTGTCATTGAATAAAAATGGTCAACCACTTAGTAAATTATTGATAATGAAATACCAATGCAATTTAAATCGGCTGATAAACAAAACATAGTAAATTGAAATTAATGAACAATTTCTTGTTATTTAAATGAATTTAAATGGGTATAGTCCTTACTTAAATATTAATATTATAAATATTAATCGAAGTTATTAATTGGCAAAAATAGATTTCGAAACAAATCGGTCAAGTAGCAAATTGTTCCAGTGAAGGTTAAGCCAATATATAAGCCAACATTCTCTTGACTGCATTAAAATTTCCATTAAAAATAAAATGAAAATGAGAAACAGAACTTGCTGATAAGCCACTACTTCTATTACACAATTAAAAATGAATGCAGTCGAATCCTCATAATCAGTGGAACCATATCAGAAGTGGTGACCGATGTAAAAAAAAAGATACACTTTTTTGCATAAGAAAGAACCAAATCATTTATAATTAATTGGAATACTGAATAGGAAATTTAATAATTCCGTAAATTGAAACCACAGATTTATGCATGAGTAAATGGTTAGCCCTCATCATTTCTGGTCAAACTAACTGCATGATTAATACAGTTAGAAACTAATGCCAGTGAATAACATGAATAAAGAAGAGCAAGTTGAATTACCAGGACACTCGGATCCTTTCAAGACGATTCATTATCCACTTGGTTATCTTTCCCCTAATATAAATTTATAAATTGTAAATTTATGAAAATGAAAACTTCAATACAACCTAGAATAATTTACTCATTGTTTTATGTCATTTGAACTAATTAATATTGATAGAACATCGTAGCATATTCATAATCGAGAATATTTTTTCCAGATTACTATGTGTGTGTGGTTCTAAATCTATTCAAGGTTATTTTCAAGGTTATTTTTTCCAGAATCTTGACTTTATTCATTCTTTGCTTTGACACTGATAATCTGTCAATCGCACCTGAGCAAAAAATATGCATATAATAAAAAATCGGCTCATTTAGCCTTCACTTTACTTTTCTGTAGTGTTAACAAGATATGCCTTGACCATGTATTTCTTTTGTTTAATCTGCGTAGGTTATTTAGCCGTAGGTTAAGGTGCCGAATGGCCTTATTTTTGTTTGCCAAATATCCTCAGTATTTTTGATTAAAACGTCTTTTTGCAGGAATGATTTACGTCACAATTTAGAAGATTTAACAGTTATTCATCATGCACATCTCATTAATCCTTTTATGTAGAAATAAGATAAAAGCAATATAAAAGAAAAGCGTCGGAATTGGTTATTCTTTATATGCTCTTATTTACTAATGGTTTCATTAAATTAAAAATCTTTCAGTGGATTTTGATGGAAAAATCATTCCTTCGATTTTGTTCAGTCAATTTTTTTGTATTTTTTTTCGCATTTATTTTTAAAATAGTTTTTGAAATAAATAAAATAATTACTTGCGAGTTGTTATCTCATTTGATAACTTCTAACAGTTCTCATCATTTCTAGCTTAGTTATTTATTATTAGTACGAAACCCTTTTATTAGAGAGTTTATTAGAAGGTCAAAGAAAGAAAATACAGATAAACCAGAACCAACCATTTTTAATCGCAAGATTATCCCCGATGAAATACTGGAATCGAACCTACGGCTGCTTGAGCTTGGTCGAAGCAACATAAAGCAACATAGCCTTCGCCTATCCAATCTCCGATAATTTTTCTAATTTTCTAATTTTCTAATTTTCTTTTTTTTTCTCATTCTTACTTATGGCATTAAAACTTGACTATTTTGACTATTTTCGAGGGTTATTCAGCAAAGAAATATTATATTTCCTTCAATTTTCGCATTTTTATAATATTTTTAATGTTTTTCTCATTTTCTCATTTTTATATTGTTTTTTATATTGTTATTGTTTTATGTCAGTGTACTGCCACGTTATTCGGCATACTCTTTCGAAAAATCAAATATATAAAATATTCATTTTTTAGTCGAAGCGCATTAAAATGAAAGACTTGGCGTGGGTTATATTGTTTTCAATGGCTATATCATTCGCTTCCTGCCAAGAAGATAAGAGGATTTGGGTTTGTTTATAAGAAATTTTCAGAATATCATAAAAAAGTATAAATTATATTAATATGCATAGAAAATATAAATTAATATCTAAAAAATTGAGAGGCTATCATTATAATATTTAGGTGATGTTATTCATTTTTTTCATATTTATCCACAAAAAGCGGTAATTCACAGACCTCTTGAATTTTGCCATATATGATATTCATACAAATCCACTTTTAGCCACCATACACTAGTAAAACAATGGCGAGTTACTTTAGCAGCCTGCCTATGCACCAAAGATACCAACTACAACAACAGTTTGGATTGCCATTGCTAGTAAGCCTTTTTTTAAATTTATGAAACTTTTTTCTTAAGTTTTAAGTTAAATTTTCTAGATTTGATAGCAGCAGATCGGCAATGCGCTACAGTATGCCAGTCAAAATGCTGGCTATTCATTGTGTGCCTTTAGTGATTAATAATGGATTTTTAGCTTTCTTTTATTATTTTTTGGATTAAGTATTGTTAATTGATGATTTCAAGCAAAAATGAGCCTTATATTTACTGAAAATTTGATTTTTGACGACCAAATATGATTGCAAATATGATTATTTCTTCCAAATCATTATTCAGTTATATAAGCGAATCTCCTGACTCGTACAAAATGGATAAAATGGATAAACATTTTTTCAATATCGATGTTTATACAAATCCGTTATCGAAGAAATTCTCTGAGGAATAGTGTCTCTCGTTTATACCATATATTTTAGATAGCATTTTTTATTCATTTTAAATCTGTTTTCATTCATTTTTTTGCTTCTTCCATTTATTTAGATTTATTTTTGTTTACCAATCAGTCATTTTTTTGCATTCATTAAACTAAGAACAGCGATTTTTAAATATTATATTATATAATATGTTACATGAATTGTTTATAAACATAAATTACATAAAAAGTCAGTTGAGTGGGTGGTTGACTTAAATTCGTGGTTGATTCATTATTGTGTTGGGAGACTGGTGGACGACTCTTGTTCTTAGCACGAGTCAGCTCGCCGTTAAAAATCTACGTGATCCTCACCGCCCGTCTGTACTTCTATCGCTAAATAGCTTTGGCACAAAATTATTAATAAATTAATTATTAAAATCACTAGCTAGTTTGACCATAAATGATCATGAGCATTCACTTTTTATAAATAAAGAATACTTAAATGAATTAAGAAATCGCAAATTTCAATCACTTCTTAGAGTTATGAAACAAATTTTTCATATTTCGCGAAAACGATTCATGAACATATTTATAGAAAACAGAAGCCGACCTCTTGGCTTCTCAATTTCTTCTCTTTCTCACTATAATAGCAGTCACCATTTATGATTTGGCTGATTTCACTAATCGCTAAGGTCAGATCTCTTCACTCGAGAATGGAGATAGGCTCATACACCATACGAATTTAAAAGTTTTCATATGGCATAGGTTTCAAATTGAGTTTTTTCGTTCTAAATACTATAAAAAATTTCAATTCAAGACATTCCTAAAATCCTAAAATACTCAGAAAAAAAGAGAATTAAAATTAAAATTAAATTAAATTTGACAATTTTGAATAATAGTAAAAAGTGAAAATTTTTTTACTTTTGATTTGATTTTTGCCGGATTTTTGATGTCAAAATATTAGAATGTAATTCGAAAATAATCATTGCTTAATTACAAATTGGTATGAAGACCGTCAAATTTATTCAGTGATTCACAGAAAAATTTTTAAAAAAAGTTTTATTCAATTTTCAGTTCAGCAGATTGTGATGCTGATGGCGACTGTGGTGCTTTAGAAATTTCGATTCAGAGAAATTCGATTCCTTAGAATTTATTTAAAAATTCAGTAAATAGAATGTTTCTCATAAATATTTATCTTCTTAACATTTCATCTGATAATTTAAATCAAAACTAAGCATTTATTCATTAAATTAATATCAATATTTTCAGTCGCTCTCCGCTCCGCAGGACCATATTTCAAAACGAAACAATGCTGAACTAGTGAATCACATCTTAAAAAATCTCGGTGGTCTCGATCGCCTCGGTGATGTCGGCCGTCGTTAATTAAGACATTCCTAAATCGTTTAATACCCTCAGTGATTGCAGTTCTGGCTTTTTTTAAATCCAAATTCTATGGAATTAAAATCCTCCTTGTTTATTTAAAGATGTCACACTAATATTAACACGATTGATGTATTAGATGACTTTTTATTAAACGTTTGACCTTTTAGTATTTGCCACTTTTTTGCAACAAATTATCGGTAAATATGATTTAATAAATTTCGTAATTCTTCCAACGACAAATTTGTTCTTTTTTTTCCATTAGGAACATTTTTCAGTTCGATTGACTTCATATGATGAAATTTTTTTGATTGCAGAATTCTATTAAATGCAGTTGATGCTGAGAAAATCTGAGCAATTTGAAATAAAAAATATGCTAAGAGAGTTGATTATCTGATGAATTGACTAAATTATTAGGTAAATGATCCTCATTTCAAATCATCAAATGTTCCTTGTCCAATCCTAATTTTTCTAATAGCACATATCATTTCTTCTTTGGCTGGTAATGACCATTATAATGAGAAAAACGACACTTCGGCTCAAAAGCAAAAATAAAGAACATTTTAAATCTAAGTCGATTTGCCATTACTATTTATTTTCTGGATTCATTTCTGCATTCCATTAATTAATAGATTTCCTCGAAATAAAACAGACTTTTCCAAACTCATTAAGAATTAAAACAAACAGATTCAACTATATAAGCCTACTTATTTGTTGACATATTTAAAGTACCACGAAAGAAATAGGTCTAATCCATTTTAAAAGTAAAGATAAAAATCTTTTCATTATAGAGAAATATGGACAAGATGGGCTTATGTTTTATTCATAATAAATAATTGATTTATAAACGTTCAAAACATAAATCCACGATTTATAAAACAAAAAAAAAATATTCGAAAAACAAAAGCTTCCATTAAAAAGCGATTAAAAAAACAAGACGCAGTTTAAAATAATGAAAATAATTCCACTAAACAGATGACCTGAGCTGATTGCGCAATTCTACAACTTTTCTTCGATCTTCAGGAGGCAAAAGTGCTATTTGTTCTTCACTCAATTGAAGTACCTGAAAACATTTTATCTTAAAAGATTAATATTTTATTAAGTTATTTGCATGCAATTATCTTCCAATAAAGCCAGTAAAATAAATAAAAAGAAATAATTCTCATTTTCCACCTTAAATTAAAAAAGATAAAAAGCGAATCTGCTGAGTGGAATTTAACAATTTAAAGATGCTGTTTTTGCCGGGAAATACCATTATCAAAATAAGCCAATACAATACAATGTATTTATAAACCATCAAAAAAAATAAATTTTAACCATCTAGGAATCATTTCTTGATTAAAACTACTATAATTTTAGTTTTAATATTAACAAAGAATGTGAAAGATACAAACATTTACCTGCATCAAAAGCTGCGCTTGTTGCTGGTCGTCAGGAGATATTTCTGGTTCAGGCTGAGACGTCGCATGATTCATGACAGGGGCTGAGACTTGGGCAAATGTATTTGGTGGCACAACTGGTGGTACAACTACTGCTGCAGGCACTTTTGCATTGAATGCAGTTGCTGTGGATGGGATAGAAGAAGAAATATCTGAACATACAATGAATGATATAAATCCATTATCCAACCAAACATTCTACTGATAATATTCTTTGTTGTATGTTATAAATTTTAGATGAAATACCACTAGAAAATGTAGATGCCTGCTGATGAAATGGCTGAGAGGTTGTTGGTACTTCACGATGTAGCATTGCAATAGCAACATGTGGGTCAACAATTCGCATAACAACTTGAGCCTTAAAACATATTTTTATACATTGTGATTATATATATTCTAAATTTCAAATATAAAATATTAGATGTATGAATAAGCTCAAAGTGCTGACTTTGAGTGGCGATTCTAGGTGGAAATGTTTTATTCTCGAAGTGCTTTATTCATGCATTTAATAAAGATTTATACTGAAGTTATATTGTGATGGCCAGTGACAATGCCTACACTTTCATCTTGAAAAAAGCACTGATAAAACGAAGAAATAGATTGATGAAGCTGATGGAAATGGAAGAGATGATAAAGTACCTGCAAGCAGTGGCAGATTTCAAGGAAAAAGATCTTAAGATAAGCCAAATATAAAGATAAAAGACAGGAGTTTGCCAATAATTGCAGGCGTTATTTGATAAAAATCAAATAAAAAATTGAAATTGACAAATTAAGGGCAGCAAATATAATTATTTCTCAATACCACGGATCTCCAGTGTAATGGATGCCACAATAATTCAGCGAACTAGATATAATACAACGATTGAACATTTCTATTTTTTTTTTACTAGGTACAAGATAAAAAATTATTTTTAATCTTTTTTCTGGAAGACACTGAAAATGAGAACCAGGTTCATTATGGAAACCATTTTACTCAGGAACATACCTTTAATGTGACTAAATTACCTTTTCGAAAAAAAATTTTCTGCAAATGGTCGAAGATGTTTAACATGAGCTACTGAAACAATTACTACCGAAGACAGTCTCCACTTCCGAAGTCTGAAGGTAGCAATCGAAGAGACATGGCCATTTATGGAGCAAGAAACTCGGCAATTAGTTCTTCTATCCTTCATATGTAACAACGTTAAAGCAAGAAATCACTTTGAATTTGGATTAACAAGTTTTTCTTTAATATTCTTCAAATCGATCTCATTGGATTATCATCTTTTTAGGTCAATGTAATATTGCTTACCAGCGTTTTAATAATATAGATAATGTTCGAATTTATATTGATGGCTTTTTTTATTTGAAATCGTTTTACGATGAAATTTATAAACTGCGATATAGATGACTGAAAATGATAGAAAGCGAAGGAATCCTCTATGATTAATTAGTCAATACAGTCCAGAGCATAGCATCACAGACTCGAATACGCTGATGATGTAGACCTTTTTGCTGACAATTATAAGGAAATGCAAATAATATTAAACAATGTATCAACAACTGCAGCGAGAATTGGACTTAAAATCAATGTAAATAAAACGAAAGTATTTCCTTTTTATATATAAGATGCTGATAAATACCTGTTTTTATCAATTCAATACCGATTGAAGAAGTGCTCCACTTCAAATACCTTGGATCCACTCTAATCCCAAATGGCCAGGCAAGGATAAAATTGTAACTCTGATAACGACAGCTAGAAAAATATTTTTCCGGCTGATGAAACCTTTATGGAAGCGTCGGGAAATTACCACAGAGAAAATCCGCGTCCATATAGCTTCAATTCACTCGACCTTCCTATATGGCTGCGAAACATGGCCAATGAGAATGGAAGATAATAAGAAGCTATCAGTCTTTGATCACTCATCTTTAACATATACTTTTCTGGCCCATCAAGTAGATAAAATTGCACATGATTAAATCCATCATCGCTCAAATACCACTTGTATTAATAATGTTATCACAAAGCGCTGGTTAAGACATGTTTTCTGTCATCCACCACAGGAGTTGACGATATTTCGTTTCTTGTTAAAACTTGTGATGACTGGCATTAAAAGCGAAGAGGGCCAGTCAAGACCTGTACTGATACAACCAGGAAAGATTTTGAACGTATAGGGCGACCAGCGATATATGGACTTAAACGATCGAAAAAGGAATGGCTTCTATTACAAATAGCGATGGCGTCGGACCGAGCAGCTTGGAGACGTCTTACCCTTATAGCCAGCGGAGCCAGTCTAAACCAGTAATGGTGAGAGCTGTTAGAAGAAGTTAATACTTGTATTTTATAAATAAATTTTACGTTAGAAACTTACATCTTATACATTCCACAAAGAATATATCTTAAGAGAATATAAATAAAAAACATTAAAGTGAAAACCTGTAACAGAGCGTAAGCCAGCTGTGGATTACTCATTAAAAGACTTTTGGCTTCATTAGGATTGTTGTGCACACACTGCTTCATTTGCTTCATTAATTCAAACATTTGTTCAGGAGGAAGTGAAGCAACTGTACGCGAAATTATTTCTGGTGCACGATCCGGCTCACATTCCGGACCATACGGATTTTCTTGCGCATGCTAACAAGACGAGTAAATAATTGCAGGTTTAAACTGGAGCTTATAAAATATTTTTAAAAGCGTAAAAAAGGAAAAATATTAAAATATCGATATTGGAATTAAAACTGGTTTTTTAATGCCTAAATTTTTATTTCTAAACTTTAAGAATAAAAAATATTTTATATTATCAATATTATTTATTCTATTTTACTATATATTATACTAAATTCAATATTCTATTTTCTTTATTTCCATACCTTTAACAGACTTTGTTAGTAATAATTAATTGTATTTAATTGAAAACTAAAATCTGAGCTACCGCTGGGAATCCATCTATCTTGCATCTATGGTTAAAAAATTTGACTGTCCTCGAACAGTACTCGCGTCTTCAATGCGAAACTTCCAAGTCTGTGGCACGATAAATATACAAATCAAGTCTGTTAAAATGATAATGTATCCAAATGGAAAAAACATTTATAGATATCAGGAATCAAGCAAAAATAGCATAAGTATTGCCCAAATATAGTGTGGACATATCAAATGCTTATCGGAAGTCCATCTTCTTTGCTTCGAGTCTGGTGGAATTTTAGATTCGCTTCAGATAAGGTATTAGCTACAATCATTTTAGCATTTCGGATGATTCTAGACGAAATGGAGTAGCGATTATTGTTTGGAAGTTTGAACCATTATGATTGCCTGGAAGCCTATTAATAAGCATACGTTTATGATCGATCCTGCAATGTTTCGATCATCAGTGTGAATGCCTCAACTCCATGCATAGATCATCGTGATAAAGTTCTATAGAGAACTTCAAATGGTAGCATTTTTTCTGACATATGGTCATAATCGGAAGAAATTGGAAAAGATTGTGCGGTCACGATGTTGCCATGATGTGGTTCGTGGTTGATAAATATGGCATCGAGATTTGATGAACCACTGGAAAGTTCTTTCTTAACTTTATCAGAAAGGATTACCATTCTAAACATAATAATACAATTGTACCACAATTCGTCAGAAGAGTTCAGAACTTCAAATGATAGCATCTAGAACCGTTAGATAACCGTTGCTTTGCGGGACTGAAGCTACCTTTACCTCTACCTTTACAAATCAGGTAATTTTATGGTTGGTTGGAGTATGGTTGAAACTGACAATCCGTAGAAAGCAGTTTCTCCAAGATCTTTCGAACATCTCAAGCTAAAAGATTTAAAGATAACAAACACATTTCAAGCTGAATATCTCTATGGCTGAAGCAAATATCAGCGAAACCTATGGAACAACCATTGAATATTGGTTGCAACTGAATGCTATGGAGACGGCTGCTCCAGTAGGCGATAACAAAAAATATTCCACCTTTTTTATAAAAAATTAACGTGGGAAATAATCCGAGACAATGATGATGTGCCTATTAGGATCATCTTGATCAAAATCAACTTGTATAGTGGAAGGAATATTTGAGATTAAGCTTATCTACGATGAACATTGTCCATGTTTTAAGTCTATAGCCAGCAGAGCCAACCTAACCAGTAATACTGCAAGTTATTAGGGGATTAAAATATACGTGAAAGCATAATATGCCAATTCAACAAAATTTTAAAACAACGCATAATAAAACTTTCAAACAACGCATATAAATGTTCAATTATGACAAATATTCTATGATAAAATAAATTCAACAAATATTCAATTCAATTCAATTCGAAAAATATTTTTTATTTATTTTTGTTTATGGAAGCTAACATCTTCATATTAAATGATAATTTTTGAATTGTGCAATTTTCACTTTAAACATGTAATAAATCAATAACCTCTTGTTGTTGAGCAGCAAATGCAGCTTGTAACTGTTGTACTTCATCAGTATTTCGATCACTACCAGCTGCTGAATCGACACGTAGAGATCGACCATTTAATTCAAAACCGTTTAAGTTTCTAAAACAAATTATTATTTAAAACAATGTAATAATAACCAATAAGATGTAAGAAACTAAGAATTAAAAACAAAAATGCCTCAAAAAATGAAAAAAGTGCATTAAAAGTTTTTTAAAAATAAAAATTAAAGAAATAATATTTTTAATTTAAAAGTAGATTCGAAGATATAAATTTGCAATTATTTATAATTTTGAGGCCAAAAAATAGGAAATATGTGAAAAATTAAAACAATTCATTATTATTTTACTAAGAAAAATATAGATGTAGTATTAACAATTCAAACCTGATAGCACTTTCTGCAGTTTGTGAGTCATTAAACTCACAAAATCCATAGCCTTTCGGTTTGCCTGTCTCACGATCATGAACAAGTCGAAGATGAACTACGGGTCCGACCTAAAAGACCTAACAATGCCTATTCATAAAAAAATCAGTAACATGGTTATAAGCATCAACAACAATACTTTACAGAAGCTGTATGCAACGATGCAACAATAAATAAACGATGAACCTGGGAAAATACTTGCTTGAGTTGCTCTTCTCCTACTTCGTAAGAAATATTTCCAACTAAAAAAAAATTTTTAGCAAATAGCTTTAAATTTGTAGTCATCAAATTTAATAGAGACATCGACTATATTTACCTGTAAATTACACCAGTTACAGCAAATTGTTTTTTCAAATGTCACCATCCAATGTATTAAGTTATCGTGATTTGAAATTAGTGTGATTTTACTCTAACAGGGAAAAAATAAATTACACTATTCTAATAAAAATAGAGAAAAAAATTCAAAATAAAGACAAAAATGAGTAAATAAGTTATTGAAGTTATACATTTTTCTGCTATTCAAAAAAAAATATATAGGAATAGAAAATCGTTTCAAATTAAACATAACGCAAGAATTTGCACAGTGTTGATAGATTCAGCCTGCAATAAATTTGGAAAGAATAAGCTGAACTTGCCATTGTAACTTGTTTTTGACCTTCAGAGTAAATGTTTTTTTATCCAGCCATGTCCAAAGAAATTTCAACCAGTCACCAAAGTCAAATCGTTAAATCACTTTTTCTTTATAGACATAATTTTCTCAGTCTATTCAAAAGGCCTGCTCCACCATGAGTTGAGGCATCAAGAATTCTGTTCTTTTACAAGAGTAAATATATTATCAAAATGGAATACGGGTAATAAGCTGTGCTTACCACTTCCCAAGAATTCTTGCTCTAAATAATTATCTGAACTCTTTGACAAATTCCAACACTAAGTCAGTAAAGCCAGCCAACCCACAAATGATGAAGGCATCTCTGAAGAGGAAATATGTAAAACCGTAATATAGCTAAAATCACGAAATGGTCTGTAACTCATTACTGCCACTATACGCAAGAAATAAGCAAAGCGTTAATTAAAAGTAAATTTCGTTGACTTCATTGATAACAAATGTGAAACGCTATAATCAAATTACAGCCACTTAGTCACTGACAGTACGAGAAGTTCTACCGAATTCCGCTTTGCTCTCGGCAAGCAAGCAGTAAATGTTCAGCAGATTCAGCAGAACAGTCAGTAATCCAACATTAATAAGAAAAAGCGAAATTTGAAAATGAAAAAATTCTTCAACAAACCGAAGACGGATCGGGCAGAACGATCACTTGCGGATAGAACAGTTTTGTTTGCAATGGCAGTCGTTGACGGCGCCGTGGCCACATTTTCCCGGAATGCCATGCACTGGAATTAAGCATTTTCATCGACAATTTTCAGATTTTTTAGAAAAGTAAAAAGAATAAACCGCACAATCAGAGAATGCGCGGTGCGTAAACAAGGAGCCTCGTGAACTCCACTTTTATAGAACTACTCGCTGCATTTAAGATTTCTTATTTGGCAACAGGCGTTTCGATTTGCGCGACCAGCCTTACCTCGTAGACTTCAAATTAGTGCAAACGATACATTAGTGCTACCCCCATTGATACAAAACTATTCGCAAACCTAACTGGATCGAATTTCAGAACGATTAGAACGCGGACCATTCCATGTAGCCGCTGCCGATTTATAGCTTTCTATTTTGCAGTTCACAAGCGACATGATTTTTTCGCAAACAATCGTAAGTGGTGTGTCAGCAGAATCGGCAGCTAAGAATTTGAGGTAATGAAAGTGTAGTTTAATCAGATTGTTCGGGAAGGTCTTTGATTTTAATGAGGGGTTTGTAGAAAAGACCTGGCATCTGAAGATTTTGGTAAATTTTGGAGGAACTATTCAATGAATTTCAGGTAAAAGAAAGTATGGTTGAAAGTTTTTTCAATGAAATTTCACCATTGTTCGGTTTCCACTTAACGATAAATGCTGGTGATCAAGTAATATTCGGTGATAAAATTTTGTATAACCACGTTTCCACTGCTGGATCCTCTGGAATCGTTGGTTGGCTTTTTTTAAAGTTCTGACAGCTCTGAAAGTTGAGCAACATTTTTTTTAAATTTTATAGTGCTGAGTTCGACTTCTCCAGTAATGAGTTTTCATTAGTCAAAAACTTCATTTGTTGGTGGAATAGAAATTCTAATTCTCTATTGATTTCTTCGTTTTCGTTTAAAGCCCCAATCATATCTTTCTTTTCCAGTTCGGATTAAATAATACGAGTTCGAATCCTTTCCGCTTATGGGAGTAAAGTCCCTATGATGTTTAACAGCATTATCAATACGAGACATGATATTCGTGCGAGGATTGAAACATAAAATGTTTCCTAGACAACAGTGGTCAAAGATCGCTAGCCTCTTGATAATCTTCGCCAGCTATTCTACAAAGGTTTCAATAGGGATAGATGAACACTTCGTACTATCCTGGCTAGTCGGACTCGAATTTCGTCTTTCGCTTGGCCATTTGGTAAGAATGGATCTAAGATATTTAAAATCTTCCGTAACCAATGATGAAAATTAATAAAAATTTTATTGGTTTAATTTTTGGTACATAAGAAAGCTTTGGCTATAATCCATTCAATCATATAGTTGTTGAGAAGGTAAGACATTTGCATTGGTCCGACTTTTATTGCAGTTATCGATACACGATATCAATATGCTTGGAATATAATGAAATTCGGAATTTTCTCTTGTTTTCAACATATTTTCTATTGTCTTCCATCTGGTAGTTTTACGGCAACAGAGGACTACATAAGCATTTTCAAGACTTGTGTTTTGAACTGATATCATGACAAGCAGTGTCCATAGTCCAGTTTGTAGCATCGTTATTGAATATTATTTTTTCGAAAGGATATTGGTCCCCCAGACATACATTTCCTTATGTGCGTTGCTAAAATGAATCTATAAGTACTGCTAATTATTATGAAAAATATCGGACGAACAATGCGTTGTAGTAATTGCTATTTATTCGAGTAAGAATTGGCTAATATGGAACTGAATGATCAGCAAAAATGTGTTATAGGGATATCTGGAAAGTATCCGAATATTAATTATTCATATCTTAAATTTGATCGACCTTTTCGGCTTAATCAAAAGATTATTATCCGTCAATATGCTTGAAATATAATGAAATTCGGAATTTTCTCTTCTTTTCCGCATATTTTCTGTTATCTTCCATCTAACTGCTATATGTTATGAGCTAGTTTATTACGGTTATGAATAATTTTTTGGGATTAATTAGGCACATAGAACAATAGAATGAGAATTAGGATTGAAATAAAGGGAAAAGAACACTCTGGGGTGGAATAAGTGGTCAAGTTGCTAAGTTCTTAGTTTTTTTTAGGTAAACATGATTATAACCACCTTGAAAAAGAAAAAAGCATGGAGAAGGGTAACAAAGGCAAAGGCAAAAATAAAAGCAAAGATCATGGTCCCAGAACTGACGATAAATTGTTTGATGCAATAAGTACTGCCAAAGAAACGCTAATGAAAGCTTTAGATGGAAAAGAATGCAGTATGTTTTCATTCTTTTTTCATTTTTCTTATAAATATAAATGAAGAAAATGATGGTCAAGTGGGAACGCTAGAGATCTTTCATCTTTCTCTTGATTCATCTTTTTCTTTGGCAAAGTTTCAAATTTTTTTCTAATCATTAATGTTATAGCTGGAATGGATATAAATTTAGTCGAAGAAATTATTAGTTTAAAAGAGGAAAATCGAGCTATAATAAAAGAACTTGAAAACCTTCGAGAAAAAGTTCAAAATCTTCTTCAGTTGATTCAGGTAATTTTTTAGAATTTTTTCAATTTTTTAAATGCTGTTTTGTATCACCACATAATATGTAATAAGCAAATATGAAATTTAAATTCCAATGTTTTTATTATTGAAATCTGCTTGTTGCAGCGTTTAACGTTTAATTGTACACCTCTTCTTAAACCGAGTCGTCGTGTTCTTATCCTTGGTGATGGAAATTTTACGTTCAGTCTTGCATTTTGTCAACTTCATCATGATGTTCAAATCGTCGCTAGTGCTTATGAGACTGAGAAAGAATACTTTAAACGTTATCCATTAGCGTTTAATACTATTTTATCTCTTCTTAATTATTATCCTCGTGTTACTGTACATTTCGGCATTGATGCCTCTTGTCTTCCTGAAATTTGGCGTAAAAAATTTGGTGATATCATTTGGAACTTTCCTCATCACGGTGGAAAGTCCAATATGCGACTTAATCGTGAACTTATGCAACGAGTATTGGCTAGTGTCTCTAATATATTTCCTATTGGCCGTTTTAGCATAACATTTGCCAAAAACCAATCTGGTTTAGATCATGACTCAGTATGTAATAAACGAATATTCAAGGCTAACTGTTTGCCCAAACATGTAAGCGATAGCTGGCAGATAGCATATCTTGCTGCCAAATATGATTTTGATATTTTTAGCATCAATAAATTTGATCCATCACAATTTCCTGGTTATATTGCTTCGGGTTATCGTAATCGCGATCGTTTTTTCCGTAACAACATTAGAGCAGAGACAGTTACTTTAGTGCTTTCGCCGAAAATCACAACTTTGTTTGGAATGAAAATTTATGAAAAGAGCATTATAAAATTTTCTAACATATATCACGAATTCAGACCATTTTTTCAGCATGATCTTTCTATTATCTATAGAGATGTAGGTAACATTCTTTATTGGGAAGGTAAATTTTATGATATGATTGCGTATCTTTGCTCATCACTTGTTCTTAGCATTCGGGAATTGAAAGAATTAAGGTCGACTGCGCCATCAGGTTTTCCAAATCGTATATACAGATTGGTTTGGCAAAGCTGGAATAAAGCAATGAGTAAATCATTAAGTAATGCGTTACAAGAACAGTTAAGAATAGCTATTATTGCAAGAATCCAGAAAAAATTTTATAAATTCGATCTTACATAGTTCTTTTTTCGTCAATCTTTTTTTTCAGGTTATTTATATGAGTGATGTCGAGTTTCAGCCTCTCATCTAATACTCCTAGATATTTTAAAAAGATAAGATTTCATGGCCGAATCACTATTTATAATAATTGTGGTTTTTAATTTTGTTTTATTTCCTTTTGTTTTTATTTTTAAATAATGGGAAATAGTTTTACATTTTTTCGCTATATAATAAAATTTTTTTTTTTGTTATTTCAAACCATAATTCGATTGACTTTTGTATTCTGGTATTTTATGATATTAGAGAGGTTCTACTGTAACGATGTGAAATAAAGAAGAATGCAATCAAATGATGTTATGATGAATGGTTCGGTCATGAAAGGACGATAATATTATGAGTTTTATAGGCTTCAGGCTTACGTTGACTCTGATGCCGAATGCAATGCAAAATAGTTTTTGATGATGTTCGAACTGTTATTCTAAGCTGTGTCGTTCCACTAATCTTTCCACGGTTTTTAATGTGTTTCGCTATGATAGCTGCGAATGGAGCTCGCAATAGCAAACATCTCTTTACACATATCTCTTCTGCAGTGCTGAAAGCATATATTGGTGGAATAAAAGTTGGCACATCAGGTCCCAGTGCCATATCTGCCAATCACAGAACGTAGTTAATTATACTCACGTCCTCTACACACATGTCTCTTTTTCACGCTTCCTATCGCATTTGCATCGGTTTTTGGGAGCAATTTCAGCAGAGCATAGCATTTACTTTTATCCAGATCATACGTGCAAAGCGTAGGGGCATGAACACTGATGATCCATTAAGGTCAATTTGAGCTTATCTTGCCATTGCGGACATGACAATCGCGACTCCTTTTCTACTTGAGTTATCTGAAACGTGATATAGCTAGTTGTTCTTATTCGGACCAGATGTAGAACTTTCGATAGGGCAAGGGGATATACGCACTGTATATTTAGATGGAGTGCGATAGAGAGTAATTGCCTGGTTCCCTAAATCCACAAATATTTTGACGCTTCACGAAGGGACAAGGCCTGTTGTGAAGCTGGTTAACTTAAGTGGGTTGGGGGAATATCCTTCGCTTGAAAATTAATACTGTTTTTAAACTGTGTCCGAGTCCCGTTTGCATATTTATCGCATGTTCTACCTGGTTAAGAATAAATGCGCATCGATCAATCAATCTGCGAACGCCGCTTGCGATTTACTTAGCTCATTCGCCACAGAATCACTTGGGTTTGTGATACAAATTGGTTTCCAGAATCCACCTGTATTATAATGACTGGATTCCTGTCCAGGCTCACAAGGGGGTAATTTTGTAATTGTGATAATTACGAAATTATCCGGATAGAAAGTTTATAAAAGAGAAAAAAGGAAAATAAAAAATGAAAAATGAAAAAAAATATATTTACAAGGAAATTTCTTTTTTATAAAATACTTTTTTTTTTAAAGTCTACTATTTTATATCATTAAGATTCGTCTTATTATAGAATTCTAGTTTTTCAAAAAATTTTATTCTTTTATTTTATTCTTAGCATTAGTTTATAATTTCATTTTTGCTTTACATTTTCATTTTTTATTTTATAGCAACAGTAATCCCTCGACTTTGAAATGATAATGTTGCAAATTATTTATGATGTGGATGATGGGAAATGTACCATGAATAAATTGCATGATCATATTCTTGAAGAATTCACTGATGTTGAATCCATTAATATTTATGAGATCTGATGATTTGAAATTTCGATTTTTAAGGTTCAATAATTTCAATTTCGGTTGTTTGCAAATACTGTTCTTCAGTTGCCTTTCTCCTTTCTTAGATACTCCATTTTAATCTTTTATTCCGATTTTAATTAATAAAATTTTCGCCTTTAAAAAATATCCGTCGACATTGTGGATTTATTAAACTTCACTCATATTATATTATTATAATATTATAGTGAACGAATTTGGAGGGAAAATTTATGAATTTTTTTTTAAGAGCTCTCCATTAGTGGTTGGAGTCGCTTCGCTGGCTTGTCGCACTGGACAAATATGCCAGGGAATCCCTTGGAAGGGAGTAGAAGTACAGGTGAGTCGCCAGCATCACTCGGATTTTTGGGCAGATTTACTCTTACGACGAGTAGCACCTCAGCATTAGCTCTCCGAACTGAGCAGCAACCTACTAAACCATTCTATTCTCTGGAGAAATTATGAATACTGGTATAAAAAAGGGAAAATTCAAATATTCATAAAATGAAGAGAATTTGTTAAATTATTTATTGTTAAATTATTAAAAAGGGATTAGAAACGAAAAAAAAAGGGATTAAATGGAGAAAATGATATTGACGATCTATTAACACTTAGTGAATCTTTAATGTATATATCTCACCATATTAGTTAGTAGAAGAAGCCAAACCAGCAATGACGAATCGTATACAAGAATACAATGGTGCAGTGACAACAACAGAGGAATTTATTTAATCGAATAGAAGTAAATCATCATGCCTGGAAGAAATGATCTCCATATTTCTGCATCAGGTAGCGGATAAAATTTTAAGCAGGAGAGGCATCCAGCTTATCGCAATTTATAATGGATGAAAGATTATAATGAAAGCCAGCTACGGTGGAATGAATTTCGAACGAATGAATGAATATCTGTATAAATCTGGAACTCCACTGCAGTCACTTCGAAGAATTCTTAAAGTTTAAAATTCCTTATTTTTCCTTTCAAAGTTTATAAATATGCATAGCAAATATTATTTCAGCAAAAATCTAAAATTGAAACTTAAAATGATCCATGAAAGAAATTAAAATCTTATAGGAATAGTCTGAAGTGAATGCAAGAAAATATTCGTTCGTTGCAAAACAAATTTCCCCATTATTTGACTGAAAAAAAGCTCCTAAAATTGCGATGAAAATAATTTTTGCTTATATTTCATAAAATACTTTTTTCTGTACAAAGGATGCTTTTGCATTTTCATAAATTTCGTTACTTTAAAAATTTAAAGTGAAAAATATAATTATTAGTAATGGCGTTCTTTTGAGCTGTTAAATGCATTAAAATCCATGACTACGCATCCATAAAATTTAACGATTTCGCTTAACATTTTAAGAATGTACCTAAATGGTTTTATATACAAATATATAAGGAGCAAATCGCTATGGTTTCAACAACCATGGCAATCGCCCATTTTTATAAATTTATTTTTATGAAGTACTAAATTTTGTCCCGTGCTCGGGTGGCTGATTGGTGTATTGCATAGAGGGTCAGTGCAAGCATTACGGTTTCTGCAGGAGCGTCTGCTTAATGGCGTCGTTTTTCTCGGAGCGGAATCATACGGGGATAAATTTAATTAATCTTATAATTCAACTGCTAATTCTTAATTGTACTTTTTAAAGCGCATTTATTTTTTTTTCACAAATTTCTTCGTTGAAGAGGGGAGCACAGCACAGCACGGCACAGTCTCTTTTTGGTGTAAAATTTTTTACATGGGATCAGAAAGCGTTATGGCTCTGATAAGAAAAGGGCGACTTTCTCGTAAGGTGGTAAAATCTGAGCCGTTCCTGGTTTGCCTCGCTTTGACGAGAGTAATCTTTTCATTTAAAGTCAAGTTAAATGCAAGTGGTGTTGTAGAGCCGCTTGTATTTTGATCCTTACGTGAAATCTTAATGCAGTGCAAGCATAAGATCATATCTAGTAGTATTCATCGATGTAAAGTGGTCATTGGAACCAATTTTTCCTCAAGCACTTCTCAATTTCCAGCTAGAAATTTATATCAACCCGTTTCTAATTTAAATAAATTCTTTCCAGCACAAATGACCAATTTTGTCATGGATTTTATTGTAATACTTCTAACCACTGCTCTTTCAACTGCCTTGGTTTGTGTGTTTTTGAAAATTTTCTTCTATTTATAAAAATAGAAGCACCATTTTTCTACTTAGCTGTAGAAATCTTTAATTCAATTTTAATTACAGGCTTGCGCACCGAAAGCTAACGCTACAGAAATATTATCTGGTGAATCTTCCAATACAACTTAACTAGGCTCAGTTCCACAATTAGCATGGACATTTAACGTATCCCTTTATCCCGAAAATCCATTCAGAAGTTATGTAGAACACCTATATAACAGCGAAGTGCATGGGAATATGATTCAGCAATTTAAGTTTGTTTCAAGTTCATAGTTTTTTAAGGAATAATTCTCAGTAGCTTAAAAAATTGCCCAATATACTAATGAATTAGGCCCTGAATTATAGAAAATTTATAAAATTATAAATTTAATATATAGGATTTTCGATATAATAAAAATGTAAGATTATAGAAAAAAAAGCAATCTGTGATCCTGATGAAGTAATCATCGCATTTACAAACGACATTCCTTACAAACTATCAGACAGCGATGAAAATAAAAATGTTGGCAAGGTCCGTTTTCAGAAAAGAAGAGTTATCCAGGCGGCTTCGGCTTCAGTCCAATCCAGTCCAAAAAACTATTGTACTTTGAGCTATCAAGTGTTATATTACTTCAAATAAGTTCGAGCTGTGATAGGTGCGATCCAATTTCTTGATGGATATAAGTCCGTCAAGTAAGATAAGTAAAATCACAGCTAAAAATACAAGTGATTCATCTAGTTCTTTCGCAGTTACCTATCTTGCGAAAGGATTTCATTCTAATTGCCAGTAGAGCCAACCAAAGTAGATAGCTAACTGCTTTCGAAAGATTTGGAAAATGCATTCATTTCGTAATAGGTGACTAGATAATGATTCAGATCACTACTCTGCGAAGGAATTTGCCCGTGGCAAAAGTCGTTAAAAAATTTGAGTCCCATAGTCGACCCACCTTCTATCGTCAAATGATCGCATGGCAGAAATTTCTCACCTGCAGCTAGCGGCGAGCGATAATCACTTATCACTTTATCACCTTCTAAATAGCTTTTTTAATGCCTTGCATATTTAAATTCTGTTCTAATTTAAATTTAAATTTAAATTAATAAATTTTAGATATTCGATTTTCTTCGAGGCACAGCGGCCAATGATTCCGTACCATATAACAATAATAATAAAAAATTAATGTTAGCAAAAAATTTTCTTCTATTTTTCAAATTTCTAATAATCTTTTTTATCTCGCAATTGGTTTCAGTAGTGTAAAATTGAAAAATTTTAAAATTTCTTCGAGAAATTTATGTCTAAAAACTTAGATTTTTATAGACCGATGGATAATATGTTTGCATTTCAATATATTTTAAATGATAGCACTCATCAATGTTCCGACTTGCAGCAGTTTGCAATTAGTGCAAAAAATCACGTCAGTGGGGTAAAAATTATTCGTCGTTAATTTAATCAATTAAGTTTAAATAAAATATAAATAAATAAAAAAAATTAGATAGCAGAATGCTATGATTGACAATGATTCAACGGTGACCTAAGGTTTTTATTTTTCCCACACTTTCACCATTTTTTTGCCCATGGAATCTAAATTTCATATTTTTTACCCTAAAAGCGAAACACTTTTCTCGTGGCCATGTGAATCAACATTTCGATCAAGATTTGAAATAAACTTTTATATTCTATTTTTTCGTTATCTTATATGCATTTGCTCCATTTTAGATAGAAAAGATGATAGTGAAAAACTGAATACTGGTTGTGCTGAAGC